CATACACACCACACACAAACCTCCCCTAGACAAAGAACACATGCCAAATGCCACATACTTCCCTTGGTTGCGTTGCCTTAGCTTTTTTCCCCCGGTACTAACTGCAAGCACCCCTTGGAGCAGGGAGGGAGACCCCGGTAGACAGCAGGACGCAGTGATGATGTTTCCAAACCCTGCGGTGCAGGGAGAAAAGGAAGTGTTTGAGTGGGAGGACTGCAGACAGAAACTGCACCACCATTCATATTTGTGCTCAGTGCGGCTCTTTTTTTTTAAGATTTTATTTATTTATTTGTCAGAGAAAGGGAGAGACTGAGAGAGAGAGCACAAGCAGGGGGAGCAGCAGGCAGAGAGAAAAGCAGACTCCCTGCCGAGCAAGGAGCCTGATGCGGGACTCAATCCCCAGAAACCTGGGATCATGACCTGAGCCGAGGGCAGATGCTTCACGGACTGAGCCACTCAGGAGTCCCAGTGTAGCTGTTTTCTCCATAAATATCTCAAGGACCCGTCATGTGTCTCTGAGCAGACGCCAACTGTTGCCTACGCTTTCCGTAGGAACACAGAACAGCGCAGGCTGCCGAGACTGGCATGTCTGCTCTGTGGACCCCAAATGGCACCTGGCTCCCATTTTTTTTTTTTTTTTTAAGATTTTATTCATTCATTTGACAGAGAGAACGAGAGAGCTCCAGCAGAGGGAGCAAGACAGGGAGAGGGAGAAGCAGGCTCCCCAGTGAGCAGAGAGCCCAATGTAGGACTTGATCCCAAGACCCCGAGAACACGACCTGAGCCAAAGGCAGATGCCCAACCATCTGAACCACCCAGGTGCCCTCGGCTCCCATTCTGCAAGGGCTCTGTCACATCCATGGCTATGAGAAGAGGAAGCAAAAGCAAAACTTCTGGCTCTAACCCTGTGACTCCAGGAAGCCACTCAGACACCAAACCCTAAAGGAGATAGAGACTGGGGTCCCCTCGGAAAGACAGGACTGTCAGCTTGGATGACTTGCACGCTATCACCAAAGAGTAACTGTGGACAGACCAATCTCACTAAAGAAAGAAAAATGAAGATTATGGCAATTTAGGCAAGAGCTAGTCAGTCTCTAGACTGCTTTTATGCTTGGCCTCTGCCATCATCATTCCTCCTTCCAATGCCCCACGTCATACTCGCGTTTTGTCATAATGGATATTGGTTAAGACAAAGGATAAAGGAACCAATGCAGGGCTGGCCACTGTTTGCACTGAGAAAGAAATCCTCAACCAGCAGGGGAAAGCCAGCTGTGCTACGTATCCCAGTGATGTGAGTCATTGAAATGGTGAATTCCTGAAACTGTTCTCCTTCTTCCCCATAACGTCACTCCATTTGCTTCAGAAGTGAGCTGTGGCCATGGTCATAGGCGGGGGGTGCCGTTCTAGGCCACATGCCAGTGCAGGAACGGGGGAACAGCAACCACATTGGACATCATTGCCCACGCTGTCCTTCTCTCCCTCCCGTCACAGACCCTGACCCCCCATCTTCCATTTCTGGACAGCAGCTTCTCCTGCTGCAGGACTTTGAGATCCCACCCTTGCCCCTCGGCTGACCACAGACACGGGACAAGTACTAACAGGATGAAACCAGCATTTTGAGCCTCCACAGAAAAACTCTAAGCCAGCACCAAATGGTATTACTCTTTTCCTGCCAAGCTCTCCCAGCTCTGTGCGAGAATATAAGGAATTATTAACTTTACTTCCCAGGCAAGGGAGAGATGTAATTAGAGCCCTGAGGTTTCCCCACAAGGCATTAGCAAGTAAATTTGCCAGCACGTTGATGAGATAAAACCTGGAACTTTCTATTCTGTGCCAATTGCTCCTTTGTCGGGAACACAAAGTCGTTTTTATGCGTGAAACTAGAAAGAAAGGGAGAAAAGTAACAAAACCAAGGGAGAGCCCTCCAGATTCTTGTGGCAAAGCTCGTGGGCTCCAGCAGCCACCTTCCCCTAGACAGAGCACGGCCCCACAGCTGCTGCGAGCACCGACGCAGAAGTGAGTCCACCCAGAGACCGTGAGGGCTGGGCATAGAGAAAAGTCCCCGTCCTTGAAGCAGTCACTAGTAACCCTGGGTAAACCAAGGGACAAAGGAAATGGTACCCAAATCCTGTTTTGACAAACCGCATTACAACGAACGCTCCACCTCGACATGGACCAAGCCTCCCTAATGACGTGGCCATCGGTTCACAAAAATTCAGGGATCAGCCGCGGTCAGCCAGTCCCCGCACTGGGCCCTGCAAGGATCCATTTCAGACAACGGCCAACTCCGCATCCTGCGTCGAGACGAGCACGCAATGGGACGGTGGCTTTCACACATCTCCGTGTTCTCTTAGGTGCCCTTCTAGATGCATCTCCTCGCCCTCAGAGGCCCAGGTCCGTTACCCCCTCCTCCAGGGGGCTTCCGTCCTACCCACCCCACCTCCCGCAGAAGCAGCTCCTCCAGGGGCACCGGGGTGGCTCAGTCAGGGAAGCGTCTGCCTTCACCTCAGCTCATGATCCTAGGGTCCTGGGACTGATGGAGCCCCACTGAGCAGGGAGCCTGTTTCTCCCTCTCCTTCTACCCCTCCTCCCTGCTTGTGCCCACTCTCTCAAATAAATAAATAAAATCTTTTAAAAAAAAAAGTAGTTTCTCCTCTTTTGGAACTTTCTTCTTTATATTCTAAGGGACGTGATATGTAACTTTACTACCATTATTCTATACTGCGTGACTGCCCCTCCCTGGTCAGAAACTGAGAAGAAACTCCTAAGGACAGTGCTTGGTGTGTCTTTTAAAATGGCCTTGTGTCAGGGCACCTGGGTGGCTCAGTCAGTGAAGCATCAGACTTCACTGCTTTTGGCTCAGGTCATGATCTCAGGGTCGGGAGATCGAGCCCCCACATCAGTCTCCGTGCTCAGTGGGAAGCCTGCTTCAGATTCTCTCTCTCCATCTCCCTCTGACCTTCCTTTCATTCATGCTAAATAAATAAATGTGTGTGTGTGTGTGTGTGTATACACACACATAAATAAATGAAATCTTTAAAAAAAAAAAAAAAACAAGTAAATAAAATGGCCTGTGTCTGCCTTGTATCCCCCCAGGTCTCCAAGGGCCATTCTCCAGATAGCTGCAGGAGCGTCCTTCGGGATCTTATTGGAAAAGGAGAGTCTCACCCCAGCCCAGACCTACGTGGTCAGAATATGCATTCACCACATTAGCGGTAGGTACCACTCAGCAGCAAGCACCTTCTTGTCCATCACAAAACGCTGACTGCCTGCCTTCCTCCTACGGGCCAGGCCCTCCGCACATTTCACCATAACCTTTACCTCTCAACATCCTGAACCGGGTTTGTAGGTTTGGGAGTTTAAGCAGACTCTGTGTTAAGTGCCTCCCAGGGTGCTTGCCCCCTCCACAGGCTCCGGGTGGTCAGGAGGGCCAGAGCCCTGGATGGGCTCCTCACCCCCATTTGCCACCCTCCCCAGCCAGGACTCAGCTGGCCAGGTCCTCTGGGGAGTAAAGCCCTACGTCAGTGTTTTCTCACAGGCCAGCACATCTCCCGACCACTGGGAGCTTGTGAAACACACTGCACGGCCTGCCCCCGAGCTTCTCAACCAGGAGACATTCTCATGCCTGACACAGAAACAAGAGAAAGGAACTCAGACAGAAACACTAAATAAAGGTGTCTTTCTTCCTTTGGCTTCCCTGACGGGGAGTATCTTATCCAACCTTGTTCTCTTGTGTGTCTCAGAGATATCTGGAGAAAAGATTAAAGAAGTGAGGCCTTTGTTCAATGAAGCCCACTGAGAAAACCAAGTCCAGAAAGTTCCCCAGGCCTGGATCAAAAAAATGGCCTTGATTTTCCACCTGTGTCTTCAGTTTGCATGTGTTAAAGGACCAAGCCAGAAAAAATTAATCTGGCCAGCGACGGGGAACCTCAGACCTAGGCTCAGTCGTCCTTCCCAGACAAAAGTCGGCATTGCTAACTCGCTCTCTGCCTACAGCTGTGCCCCTTCATGGAGCAACCCCTTGCCTCAGACTCACCTCCTCTCTCACACGCCTCAGCCACCACCCAGCGCATAGAAAGAGTGGGAGAGCTGAGAGTTCCACCTCCGTTCCCAAATTCCTCCCCTTCCTCCCACCTGGTCATGCTCTAACCCCCACATCACCTCGGTGGTCAGGGAAATCACAACACTACACAGCACCAGCTCCGGGCATTTCTAGAAGAGGATTTGCAACCTCCTTCTGGAAATCACTCACCCCACTCCTGTAGTGCCCAGTGCCAACAGCCTGAGTGAGTATTCACTGGGAATAAGAGAATACGGGTGAGTAAGGTTGAAGATGCGAGCCTCAAGGCTAATCAGCTTCCAGAAGAATCCTTAAGTCTACATCCCATTTCCAGACCCATTCTGAGTGTGCTAAACCTCGTTATCACCAGGACTATCTATCAAGTTCATTCGTGTCTGGGGGAAGCTGGAAGTTATTTTAAGCCCTCTCTCTTCCCCACATCTAGTAGAAATGGGTGTGACATGTGACAATCAGCATCTGAAGTCCCGAAGACGCCTCCCAGGGCAACCGTACCTGCAAGCCTTCCTTTGACCCCGTCTGCCCTGTGTGCACTCAGCTGCCGTGTCAGTCCTTGTCTGCCACCCTGCCCAGCACATAGTAGGCAGACAACAAATAATTTTCGATGAATGAATAAATGATAGATATATCACACGTTAGGCAGGAAGGTGGTAAGTTAATGCAGCTTTCATTGTGCAAAATCTTGGAGTATTTCTGGGTAATCAACAAATGCATAACCCAAACGATTAATGTGCATAAAGTGCTTTGAAATCCACAAAATAACGGAGCCGTAAAACAGTTCATTGTTACCGAGTGGAGGTGACCAGAGGAACAGAGCACACAACTCATTTGGGGTGTAGAAAATAGACATGAATGAGGGTAAAACAGAAATGGGACATTGCAGGGAAAAGAGGAAATAATCAGTAAGCAAAATAAAACTCACCCTTATCATAATCATCATCCTCAACTGCCTTTTCTTGAAGTTTCTGAAGCTTTATTCTTAGGGATTTTACCTATGTCGGTTTGAAGGGGAAGAAAATGAAAGCCAAATTAGGATAGCATTCAAGCAAACTTATTTTTTTAAAGCTAAAAACATTTAGAAATGATTTCGAAACTGAAGTTCTTTATTCTCCTTTAAAAAAAGAACCACAAATGTACATTTTTCCAATGCCAGATGCATTAGTTTCTCAAAAAAAAGTTATATAAAGAGAAAGTGTAATTTGAGCATAAAATCCACAAAAAGAGCTAGAAAGTTATTTTAAACAAAAATATCACATTGTACCCTTATCTGCATGGAAAAAAATGCATAATAAAAGGAACGCAAACTTCCTGACCTGACCAAATGGTCTCCATTCCCAAAATCACATTAAATTATGAAGAAAAACACACTAAGACTGGAAGAGAAGCCAAGAGAAGAGCGTGAACTTAAACGCGGCAGGATGTCAGCCAGCTGGGTGAGATTGACAAGAAGGACCTCACAAAACCCTTCTAGAAAAGGGCATCACCCTATTTAACCCACATATGGACATAACGATCTCACTGTTTGTCGAAGAGTTGCCAGTACTCATTTTTAATTATCTTCCTTCTCGACAGGAGGCCCGAGATTTTCTGAAGATAGATTCTTGGCCTATCCATGAATGGATGTGGGCTTTATCTCGGAAACATACATTCCTCCCATCTTTTGCCTGACACACCCACATCCTTCAACACCCAGCTCAGGGGCCATCCCCTCCAGTCTGTGTGAAATATCCTTCCTCTGTACTGCCGTGTGACCTGTGCATGTTCCTAGTCACGTGACCCATTTAACAAATATTTACTGAGCGTCTCCTCGGTGTCAGGCACCGTCTGAAGTGTTGAGGATACAGCACAAAATTCTTAGCTCTCTCTCTTGATGACATTCTTGAGTAGGAAGACAAAAAATTAATATAATAAGTACATTTTATGGAACCTTAGAAAGTGACCAGTATTTTTTTTTTAAGATTTTCCTGATTTATTTATTTGACAGAGAGAGACACAGCAAGAGAGGGAACACAAGCGGAGGGGGTGAGGAGAGGGAGAAGCAGGCTTCCTGCAGAGCAGGGAGCCCGACACAGGGTCCAATCCCAGGACCCCCAGATCATGACCCCAGCCAAAGGCAGACGCTTAACGACTGAGCCACCCAAGCAACCTGAAAGTGATCAGTGTTAAGAAGAAAAACCACAGAACCCAGTAAGGGGTATCGGGAGTGCTGGTAGGAGGTAGGGCTGTGGTTTTAAATAAAATCTCACTGACATCTGAGGAAAGATTTGAGGGGGAATCCTGAGGCTCCTGGAGAAAACATTTCAACAAGAGAAAAGTCAGTGCAGAGCCTCGGGCAGAGGCGTTGCTGGTGTTGTCAAATAAAAGCAGGAGGCCACAGGGTTTGGGAAGGTTTGATTAAGGGGGGATTGTAGATGATGAGGTCAGAGAGGTGATGAGGAATGCATCATGAAAACACATGAAGAGGACTGAAAAGTTCTCGTTACTCTGTGGGTGATAGTGGGCAGTCAGAGGGTTTTGAGCACAAGAGTTCATGATCTGATTGAGGTCCAAGCAGCTCCATTCTGACCACTGTGGACAAGGGCAGAAGTCAGATGGCAGGGGAGGCCATGGAAATCACCCAGGACGGAGGTGACCATAGCATAGCCTGGATGATCCTGGGCACAGTGAAGATGGTGAGAAGGCAATCTGATCCTGGGCACATTCTGAAAACAGCGTTGAAGATAGAACCAACAGGATCTGCTCATAGATTGCAGGTGGGGGGTGAGAAAGTCAGCATGATGCTGGGGTTTGGGATTGAGCTGCTGGAAAAACAGAATTGCAAGAAATTGTAGTACTTGCAATGCCATGTTACAGCTATTGTTTTATTTTGTTATTTTTTGTGCACTCCATTCACACTTGAGTATGTTGAGGGCAAGAACTCTATTCTACTCGTGTAGAAAATGGCAGGGCGCACCCTTACTTGGCTCCCCACTGCTCTGGGCACACAGAAGGATGACACTTCCCTCCCCACCTTGCTGTGGGTCATGGGGTTAGGGTGCAAGAGTTAGCAGTCACTTCCGCACTAAGCATTTCATTGCTCTTGTAGGATCCCTTACTGTTTTCCTCCTTGTCCCCTTGACTGAGGGGCCGTTTGCTCTGGTGCTGTAGGCAGGGCTCCTGAGTGACCCTGTGGAGCAGATCCCCCAACCACCTCCATGGGACTCGAAGCATTCAGCAAGAAACAAGACCTTGCGGGCGCCTGGGTGGCTAGTTGGTTAAGCAGCTGCCTTCAGCTCAGGTCACGACCCCAGGGGCCTGGAATCGAGTCCCGCATTGGGCTCCCTGCTCAGTGGGGAGGCTGCCGCTCCCCCTGTTTGTGCTCTCTCTCTCTCTCTATCAAACAAATAATATCTTAGGGGAAAAAAAAAAAAGAAAGAAAGAAAAGAAAAGACAGAAACACAACCTTGTCCTTTAAAGGCTGTGATATTATGTCACTATCTGTTACCTCTTCTTTTTTTTTTTTAATTTATTTTTTAATCTTTTTTTTTAAGATTTTATTTATTTATTTGAGAGAGAGACAGAGTGAGAGAGAGCACGAGAGGGGAGAAGGTCAGAGAGAGAAGCAGACTCCCCATGGAGCTGGGAGCCCAATGCGGGACTTGATCCCGGGACTCCAGGATCATGACCCGAGCAGAAGACAGTCGCTTAACCAACTGAGCCATCAGGCCCCCTGTCTGTTACCTCTTCTAATACAATCTCCGAAGCCAGGCACAAGTAGTGCATAAATACTTTCTGAAAGAATGAATGTTTACACTAGCCTCTTTATCCTTGAGGTTTCTCCATATTACAGGTGCACACTGTACCAGGAACCTAGCTATACATATTAGGGACAGAAGAAAGTCTGTATGGGAGGGTCCTTGCTATTACCATCATCACACTGGAGCTTACTAGAGCTGAAGCAGAAGACCTACAGGAAAGAAGGTCACAGAAAACTTCATGTAGAGCCAACAGCCACCCCACCTTCTCCCCCTCATCCAACGATCCCTCTAGGTCACTGAAGTGATACCCCAGATGTTTGAATGTCCATCTGTGCTGGAAGCAGAGCCACTGATGGTCATGACCTATCCAGTGACACAACCGTGTGAGGCAGGCAATTTCCCTCCTTCTGCAGGTTCCACAAGCTGAAGTGGGGCTCACTTGCAAGGTTCTCCCCGCTTCCCTCCTCTGCGTACCCAGTTAGCATTTCCTTCCATCACGACTGTCTCAATCCCATGCAGTCCCTGGCAATGTCTCTGGGTGGCTATTTCTAAAGAGCATAAAATACCCTTTCCACTGATTCTCATTCATGGCAGTTGTGTTCTAGAAAGTCACTGGAAATGCTCAGTTAGCAAACACTAAACCATTGCTTCCAGGGGAAACAAGTGTTTCCTATCTCTCATTCAGAGATGGGTATGTGATTCTGTGATTCTTTCCCACCAATAAAATTTATGGTGTTCCTTCCTAATCTCTCATTCCTATCGAAACAAAATCTGCCTTCCTATAAATCCTATGCCCCGGACAGAATCCCTCCCATCTCTCCTACATCACTGAATAAAGCTGATTCTTCTTCTACACAACAGACATTCGAATTATCGAAAATAGCATCGTGTTTTCTGCTGTCCCGGTGTTAGTTTACCACAAACAAAGATACTTAAACTACAGATAAATGGTGTCCAGATCCTATCACTTGAGACAGGATATGAGTTTAACTTGAACCCCAGGGAGAAGGGCGAATTTGGTGATTTGGGCCCAAATTCACTTATTCTGAGCTCGTTCTCCGATGATGATAATGACCCACATTGCAGGCACTTGCTCAGTGCCAGACCCTGTCTGAAGCTCCTGGCAAGAGGTGAGACATTTCATGCTCATGAGACTCTAATGAGACTCTAATGAGACTCTAATGAGGTGGGTACTGTGGTTTATCTCCATCTTCTAACAACAGCATCTTGAGGCACAAAATGATTAAGCAAATCACCTAAGGTCACTCAGCCAGGAGAGGAAAATGCCAGGCTAGCACCCAGGCAGTCCCACAAACCTGCCAGACTGCAGGGCATCGTGGGATCACAGGCACACGCACACACACCCCAGCAGGTGCCCACAGGCAGCAGAGCTGATCACCTCCAGAATGCCCAGGGTGAACCCGCAGCCACTTCACCCTTCTTCCGCAAGGAACACTGCTCTGGTGGGCTCTGACCAATCAGTTCTTTTAAAAGCTGCATCTGGGTGATAAAGGTGAAAGGAAGAGATATCTAGGGTTGGTTATATTTTTTAAAACTAAAGATCCGGAAACCCAAAAGGTAAGGCAGGGTGGCTTTCTCCAGCCAGAGCCCCTGGAATGCTGAACTTCAGGCTCTGTGATGACCTGGTGGCTGGGGGAGCTGGCAAGGTGAGCCCGAGGCGTGACTGGACCCCAAGAGACGCAACTGGTTGGGGGTTCACAGACTCCAGTTTGTTAAAAACAAGATTCTCAGGAGGCTGTGAGTTCCCTGCAGGTAGGAGGAGGTAGAAGAAAGGAAACCCAGGGAACAGAATCATGGGGACTGCAGACGGATCACTGCCAAGGTAGTTCCTGTTTGTTTGGCTGTTTGGGAGGGAGAGCCGCTGGTCATTAGAACGGCGTTCTACTTTTGCTTCACATGCATCAAAACTTGAATTTTTGAGATGGAGAAATACAGATCTGTGGTCAAGATTTTTTTAAAAGAGATCTTGGAAATGAAGTGCTGAATACTGGTATTTACAGTTGGAAAAGGATGACACAACACTCTACTTAGTGCCTGGGACCTTGCGATTCATAATAAGAAATATGTATTTGGTCTTTGTTCATTTCTGACTCAGAGAGCCTAAAACCCTAGAAATTTCCTGTGAAGAGGGCAAGAAAGGTGTCTTTTGTTATGTTAATAAGGTGACTCTAGGAAGACACCAAAGGATGAGGGCTGGTTGCCAGGGGAACCGACCACGTGATTAGAGGACAAGAAACTTACAACCCCATCCCCCGACCTCCAGGGAGGATACAGGGGCTGGAGGTTGAATCAATCCCAAATGACCAATGATTTAATCAGCCTTGCCTATGTAATAAAACCTCCATAAAAACCCGAAGGACCAGGTTGGTACACATCTTGCCCCATGCATCTCTTCCATTGGCTGTTCCTTTTGTAATAAACGTGTAATCTGTTAGTAAAATGTTTCTCTGAGTTCTGTGAGTCATTGTAACAAATTAATGGAACCCAAGGAGAGGGTTTCTGTTGGTACCTCTGATCTAGAGCCAGTGGGTCAGAAGCACAGAGGATGGCCAGGACCTGCAGGCAGGCAGTCTTGGGGGGCTGAGCCCCTCCACTGTGGGAGTTGATCTGTCTCTGGAGAGATGGGGTCAAAACTGCCTTGAGTTATGGGACAGCCAGCCAGCACTGGAGAAATTGCTGGTGCAGACAAACACCTCTCCGAGGTTGGGATTGGTGACGAGAACCCCTTCACGCTTTGCATATCTGTGTCTCTGACTCTCTTCTTTTGCCTTAGCCCGCCAGCCCAAGAAAGCTGTCAACTAGAGATCTGGGGTCCCTCTTCATAAGATGAATCATTGCACCAAAAACAAAAATGATCAAGCAACAGCAGAGGGCCAGGACGGATGCGAGACATCAGGCATCCAAAACCGTCTAAGAGACGTGACCTCTCGTTATAGAGCTCATGGTCGAGTATAGAACTTGGGCCCACAAACAAATGATTATTACATGTGATGAATGCTACCATGGGCCATGTCCAGAGCGCTACGAGAGCAACATGGAAGGAGGGATTCATCTGGACCAGAGGGGGCAGGAAATGTCTAACAAGGAAGTGGCTTCAGACCCATACCAGAGGGATTACAGGAGCTTGGCAGGTGGAAACGTGTAGGAAGGTCGTTCTAGGCAGAGGGAGAACTGTAAGCAAAGGCCCTAGGCACAGCTTTCCCTGGCGTCTTCATCCACAGGAAGCAACACCAGATGGCTGAGCCAGCAGGAGTAAGGCACTAGGGCAGGCTGGAGCGGGCTGGGAAAATCTCAATTATCAGGATAAGGAACTTGGATACCATCCCGAGAAGAGCAAAAGGTTTTAAGCCAAGGAGTAACACCATCCCACTGGCGTTCTGGAAGAAACTCTGCTGGTCATCCGGGGGACAAAACTGGAGAAGAAAAACACTGGAGGAAGGTAAATAAGTGGAGAATCTCTTACAAAACCCAGGTTAAAAACAACCAGGGTTTGAACCAGGGCAGAGGCTGTGGCCATGAGAGGCAGGTTAGCTACTGGACTAGGAGGGCCGACCAGATGTTGGGAGTGAGGATGGGGGAGGTGTTGAAGATGCCTGCACTTTCTCTAAAGAACTAAATGGATGCTATTAATTAAAATCAACAAATGTGTATGAAGATCAGGGTCCTTTAGAACAGGTTTGGTCGGGGGGCGCCTGGGTGGCTCAGTCGTTAAGGGTCTGCCTTCGGCTCAGGTCATGATCCCAGGGTCCCGGGATCGAGCCCCACACTGGGCTCCCTGCTTGGTGGGAAGCCTTTTTCTCCCTCCCTCCTCCCCTGCTTGTGTTCCCTCTCTGTGTCTCCTTCTCTGTCAAATAAATAAAATATTAAAAAAAAAAAGAAGAAGAACAGGTTTAGTGGGGAAGACAATGACATCAGCTGTTCACATCTAATTCCAGGTTTCTGTGCATCACCTGGGAACGGAGAGCTACAAGAAGATCGTGAGATAGAAATCACATAGCTGGGCTGAGGTCCCCAAGGGCTGGAACAGGGAGAACAGGGCCAGGGCCAGGAACATGAGACCACGTGTAAAGAACAGAAAATAAATGAGCCCAACTGCTGGGAATGAACATGACCTTCACATTTTCAGGTACTTCCACCAAATGCCTGATGAGTGGGTGTTCTACTTCCTTGTGTACATGTACAAATGTATGCACACATACACACACATGCACACTTATACACGTACACACACATCACATGCACACACCCCAGAAGGAAAACACAGCCTTTCCGTAGGATGAGCCAAACAGCCCAATGGGGTCAGCCACGGAGCACCTCTGCCTGGGTTTCTCTGGGAACTTTTTGCGGGTAGAACAACACTGCCTATTCATAGTTATACCCATCTCTCAGGTAACTGGGTGGACAGCACCCTCACGACGTAACTGGGTGGACCACCCTCATGGGTGGCTTATATGTATGCCACCCATCCTAGCTTCTCACTGCAGCCACAGAACAATCCCAAGCAGGGCTTCCGTCTAAGTAAGAAAACTGAGGGGCGCCTGGGTGGCTCAGTGGGTTAAGCCTCTGCCTTCTCCTCAGGTCATGATCTCAGGGTCCTCGGATTGAGCCCCGTGTCGGGCTCTCTGCTCAGCGGGGAGCCTGCTTCCTCCTCTCTCTCTGCCTGCCTCTCTGCCTACTTGTGCTCTCTGTCTGTCAACTAAATAAATAAAATCTTTAAAAATAATAATAATAATAAGTAAGGAAACTGAGAGCCCAAGAGATGGAACGACCAGGAACGAAGTCTCCTGGCTGTGTCAGGCAGTGCCCCCTGAGCGGGATGACAGACAAGGGGTAAATGCAAATGAAACTCAGCATCACCCCCAATGGGGGCATCACCAACTTCACACCCCTCAACCGCACACCAGCCAGCTCCAGCTCCCCTGCCCCCAGTTTCCTGTTGCAGAGCAGAGCTGGGCAGAGCTAACCACACGTCACTTAGGGCAGGAACCGCAGAGGAGCCTGCGGCCGGAGGGAGAGCAAATCTGAGCATCGAAGTGACAGAGAAGAGGAGAACAGGGACAGATCTGCATTCACCCTGCGCGAGAAGAAACAGAAGCGCAGGGACATGTTTTTGCTGCAGCTACAAAAGGAGCTGCTGCAGCTTCCAGGGGGAAGTCGGTGGCCCGCCCAGAACTCGTTTCCTGCCCTCTGCCCGAAGAGGATCTGAGCCCATGATAATCATGGGCCCCGGAGGCTGGGGACACCGACCTCCAGCCGCCTCTGGTCGCTCAGCAGGCAGTCCAGCAGCACGGGCTCGCACCTCCGGACCAGCGTCTCCCAGCACTGAGCGTCCCCCAAGCTGCTGCCCTCAGACCCGGAGGGGCCCAGGGAGAAGCAGGAGGCGGTGTCCACGTCCAACAAAGTCGGCGTCTCCCTCTCCAGCCTGTGGCTGCCTCCTGCGGTCTGGGCAGAGTCTGCCAGGCGCTGAGTAGTCTTGAGATAGAAGTGGGGAGAGAGAAGTCGAGGGTGTTCGTGGGGCCTGTCCAGGCCGGCAGCCTTGGCTTCCATGTCCTTGGGGCTCTGACAAGGGGCCTCGGCCTCTCTGGAGGGCGGGCAGCCTTCCGCTTCTCCACGTTCCCCCGCAGAGCCAAGCGAGAGCCGTATGAAGCTAAAGCTTGAGGTAAAGGCATCCTGAGAGCTGCCCGGGGCTGAGGGGACCCTGGGGTCACTCCTGAGGCTGCAGCTGTCGCCATTCACCTCCTCTGGGAACAGACGGCCTTTTGTCCAGGTGTCCTTTGCTCTTTCACAGCCACCAGCATCCCAGCCAGCGCCAGGGGCCTCAGAACTGTCCATGGACGGGAGCTCGCCCTGCCACCCTGTGCCCCCAGGGCCACACGACCTGGCCGGCCTGGCAGGCAGTGTGGCGCCAACTTGGAACTGAATCCCGAAGAGCCCTGAGGGTCTTCTCGCAGGGGTCCTTGCCAGGCCCCCGTATCCCACAGCGGTCCGAGCCGAGGCAGCTGTGCTCCTAGGAACAGGGCTCCCCGCCGAGGGGCCTCGCCACTGGCCTCCAGGATCAAGGCCACCCCGTCCGGCCCTGGACTCAGACTGGTGGGACTCCTCACCGCATGCCCCTCCCTGGGCCCGGAGCGCAGTGGCCGCTGCTGGGTAGAGGAACCCAATCCGGGGCCCCGCTGTGCTTCTCATGTAGCCCGGCCTCCGCGCCAGCCGCCGCCTCCGCAAGGACGCCACAGGTGGTAAGCAATCCCGGCCACCTGGGAGGAAGAGAGAACACAGCACCGTAAGCGCTCGTCGCTCAGTGGCTCCGCGGAACTGCATCTGGAGAGCATCCTGGCCTAGAGGTCACCGCTCCGTGCATCTGTCAGAGACAGAGCCCAGCTCAGGCGTCACGAGGCCAACCCAGCATGGAGATCCGGACAGTCCTGTCCAAGTCTTGGCCTCAAACACGTAGCAGCAGCTCAGTGTCTCCGCTCCTCTGCTCAGCACAGCAGCCGCAGGGCTGAGTTACGCCAACACATCCCAGACCCATCGGAGACACTGCCTCAGTGACCCCTTCGGCACCCTCTGGCATCTCACCGGTGGGGCTCCTGGGCACATTGGCACGCGTCTCCCAGACTGGGCCTGAAGAGTGAGCGACTGGAAAGCAAATGCCAGCATCCTTCTCCAAACAAGAGCCAATCACTCATTCCAGCGACTTACTGGACAATACACGAGTTTCCATTATCCGAGCTATCCCTGTCCCCCGCACACATCCACACCCTGGAGGGCCGGCTGGGGCACAGCTTACATCCATCAACTCCTCTCACACAGCAGCCCACAGTAGGCCCTGTCTGATGTGCTCTACAAACCAGCGGCTGTGTCCCCCACCCAGCTACGCAACAGGAATAGAAACAATAAAAAATGCCGATAGCCCTCGGGCAGGCTTGTACAGCGGCTGAGAGCAGGGTCTGGCACCTCACGGCAGGTTCAAGCCCTGGCTGCCCCATGGCTGACTGTGACCTTCCACACGTTACCTGACCTCTCTGTGCCTCAGTGTGCTGATCGGGAAAATGGAGACATGACCAGTACCTCTCACCCAGGGTGGTTGTGCACATTGAACCAAATGAGTCGTGATGCACAGACAGCCTAGAACAGCGCCTGGCACTCATGATCTGTGTGCCGAAGGTGTGAGTTCTTATTTCCTGTCACAGCACAGTTACTAAGAATATGTGCATAACCTATGCTCATTTCACATGCTCGCTGCCAAAATCATGGGAATCGCCCAGACCAGGAATTATAAGTTTTCTTCTACAGTTAAGAAAACTGAGGCTCAGGGAAAATGACATTCCAGAAACCCCTGCCAGTGACTGAGTGACCAGGTCTCCTGACTCTCCTGGCCCACACGGCGCTCTCACAGCTGCACTCTGCCACACCATGAATCAGATGAAATGCAAAGCGTGCAAGTAAGACCAGGCAGCACTGAACGTGGCCACAGGTACACTACAGCCTCTGGTGAAGAGTGGAACAAAGCTTCATGCCAGGGCCACACATCCCACTGTGTCCCCAGAACATGAAGGGGCCCAGGATCTTTGTCACGGTAAGTGGAAAGCACTTCGTGTTTGGGGGCCTCCTGTGTTATGATCATGGCACACAGCAGTCTTCAGAATGGGTGTCCATGGAAATCCTGGGGAATGAGCACAGTGACCCATGAGCCACCCATTCCCTGAATTTGAGCATCTAAGGACAAAAGAGCCCAAGACAGGTTCACCCAGCAACCTTCTCTTGCCAGCCAGGCGTGCCGACTGCCCGGTGCCAGGAAAGGGTTAATACCACCCATGTACATAGAATTCCAGAAGCTGGCAGTGGAGGGAGGAGTGAAAATAAGGGCTATCAGGGGGTGGGAGAGGAAGTCAGGGTAAAGAAAGGGAGGGAGGTATATAATATACAACCCTAGGCCCTTGCTACCATTTTCACTTCACAAATAATAAAACTAAAGCCCAGAAGATTTCAGTTTGCCCAGAACTCCCAGATGGTAGCTTACCAAAGCCTGTTTTGGTAAGGTCATAGCTTACCAAAGCTCATTTCAGGACAATAAACCAGCATAATACCCTCCTGTGCCCCTAACTGGCTTGATAAATGATGTATGAATGGATGCATGGATGGATGAGGGACAGATGGATGAACCAAGGCCTATCGATTCCAAAACACACGCTCTTCTCGTACCCTTTGCCTCCAAGTGTATCCCTGAGGATGATAACTTGAAATGACAGGAAGTCAGAAGAAAGATTTGTCTTATTTCTTAATGACACACGCCATGCAAAGCTGGAATCAGTAGAAAAGGACAGGACCAAAAATGTACAGAAGGAATTAATTAATTAGTTAATAGTTCAAATTAGACCACACATTTAGATGGTTACTATCAAAAAAAAAACCCAGCAGTGATTGAGGAGTGCACTTGTGATGAGCACTGGGTTGGAAGTGTTGTATGAAAGTTTGTACACCAGGAACTGATATTACATTATATGTGAACTAACTGCAACTTATTTTTTTAAGATTTTATTTATTTATTTGACAGACAGAGATCACAAGTAGGCAGAGAGGCAGGCAAAGAGAGGGGGGAAGTAGGCTCCCTGCTGAGAAGACAGCCTGATGCGGGGCTCGATCCTAGGACCCTTAGATCATGACCTGAGGAGAAGGCAGAGGCTTAACCCACTGAGCCACTCAGACGCCCCACTAACTGGAATTTAAATAAAAACTTAAAAAAAATTAAGACATTGAAATCAAATTTTTTAAACAGAAAATAACAAGTGTGGATTAGAATGCAGAAAAATTGAAACTAGTGTGCATATCTTGATGGGTATTATTCAGAGTAGCTGAAGAGAGTACAGTAGTTCCTCAAAAAGTTAAAAATAGAATTATTACATGGTCCAATAATTCCACTTCTCATTATATACCCAGAAGTATGGAAAGCAAAAAAATATCTCTTTGAGATAATTGTGCACCCGTGCACAATCACAGCAGTGTGCTTCATAACAGTCAACAGTAGAAACAACCCACTTGTCGGTCAGTGGGTGAATGGATAAACAAAATGTGGTAAAGTCATACGACGGAACATTACTCAGCCTTAAAAAGGAAAGAAATTCTAACCCAGGCCACAACATGGATGAACCCTGAGGACATCATGCTAAATGAAACAAGCCAGTCAGAAAAGGACAAATATTGTATTTATAAACATGTATACATTTATATAAGGTGTCTAGAAGAGGCAAATGCATAGAGCCAGAAAGTAGACTGGTGATGGGCAGGGATGGGGTAGTTGATGTTTAATGTGGACAAAGTTTCAGTTTCAGAAGCTGAAAACATGCTGGAAATGGATGGGGGTAATAGTTGTACAATAACGTGGGTATACTTAATGACACTGAATTGTATCCTTAAAAATGGTTAAGAGGGTAAATTTTATGTTATATGTACTTATACTGTAAGGACCTATTGAGTCAGAGCGACTCCATCTTGGTTAAAAGCCATTGTGTTGTTTGTGCAGTAAAACTTAAACTGACCCTGCCCCCCCGCCCCAGAGAAACTTACTTAGAAGCAAGTCTGGGAAACCAGTAAATTATGGTCGGTCAGTTCCTAATAACAGAGCCCAGAATACAAGGATGAGTCAGGCCAGGTGGAGACATCCAATCAGTAAAAAGTACACATACTGTCTCCCTAACCAACAAAGAACATAGACCCCGCCTTTTGGACACCAAACTTGAGCGCCAATTCTGACCAGAGTGATAGGTTAGTTCAAAGAGCTACTATAGGGTAAACTGTAATTCAACTGGCCACCTGCGTGTGGCCTAACATGACTATGCAATGTTATAGTCTCATTGGCCACCTATGTGTGGCCAGGCTTTTGCTCTATACAAGTTAGTCTGTGAGGCTGGGAGGGGTCGCTCTCTTTGGAGGCAGCCCAGACTAGTCAGTCAGTCAATTCTTGAGCCTGTAAGCTGGGGGTGGTCACTCTCTTCAGAGATGGCCCTGGCCGGTCAGTCTGACTTCGAATGCTTCGCACAGAATAGAGCTTTACATAACTTTCACCTTGTCTAGTCTCGTCCCCCTGGCCGATCAGTCTAACTTCTAATACTTATCATAAAATAAAGCTTTAAATAACTTTCATTTTGTCTCAGTCTCGTTTCTTTTAATAATGGACCTAACAATCCCAATGAAGATTTTTTTTTTAAATCTTGAAAAAGGTCAAATTGGGTCATCATGTTATGTGGTCTGAAGGACTCTGCCCCATCCTTTTCCTCAGGGGTTTCACTATCTGAGGGTGTCTCTGATGTCAAGGTCCCGACCACAAAGAGAACCCACGTTCCTACTGGGCTTCTGGTAAGATGTCATCGCGCCACAGTGCCGCTGAGCAACAAGCCAAGAAGACCAGACATGAGAAAAATGGTCACCAAATGTGGGGATGAGAAAGAAGGGTCAGCTGTATGGACGGCCCAGCTCCTGCATCCATCAGACCCCTCACACATCCCATCCCCTGGCGTGGGCCTTCCTAGAAGGCGGCCCAAGGGGCAGAGGCAATCACACACTATTAATCCTAACCCTCAGGAGAGGGCAGAACTGAGAGCCAGATCTGGATGGCACTTCTGGAATGAGCTAGAAGGATTAGAAGAAACCCATATTGGGCAGATGGCAGCTCAGAAATCTCTAGAAAGACCCCCAGGTCCCTGTACCCCAAATCCCCTTTTATCAACTTTTTTAAATTTTCATTTTTTAAGGAAACTTATGATAACCCTTCTGACCAGAAATCAATTATCACTATCTCTCCTGCCTGAAATCCTACCTCTTAGATTGGTCCAAACCCCAACCTGCCGTCACACCCTGCAGTTAAGGAAGGGTTATGATGCATTCCGACCTCAGAGGGCAAATTTCCTTCCTGACGCCTACGCTCAGGGTTGAGTGGGCAGGAAGTACATGGCAAGTTTTAGAGATTTGAGAGCTGACCGGGAAACCAGCTGTGCCTTCTGTTCCTTGTAAAACTCAGAGATGGTTTCATTCTGCCCATCTGGGCCTGGAGAGGCTGAGGAGGGAGGCATGCCTCACGCAGCCTCCTCCATCCCCTACAGCCTCCGGCTCCAGAACAAACTCTAGGGAGAGGAGAGCAGACCTGCTGGTCCGGGTTTGTAGGATCCCCACCTCCACCTCCATCCAGCCCAGTGAGCTCCGAGATGGCAAGGGGAGTAAAAGACAAGAGCTTAGAATAGACCCAGATGACAAAAGACCTCTACATGCAGTCCAGATAAGGTGCCCAGGAACACGTGCTCATCTAACTTATAGGGGAAATTAAGGGAAACCCATGTTAACCAGCAAAAATCCTGTTTGCCTGCCTCTAACCTTCTTCCAGACAAATCCTTCCCATCCTTCGGCTTCCAACGCCCTTCCCCATCAGCTACCTTGTCCTGATCGTGCAGGTCACAAGTCTCTAAGAACGGTCCACACCACTCCTGACCCCCTACTTACTACCACCCAGCACAGCTAGCTATTGTCTTCGGTGTATGTAAATTGTTCCCCATTTACGCTATATATGAGCTTCCTGACACCCTCATCATTTTCCAAAAATCCTAGTATACAGGGAAAGCATTCCAATACACGTTGGCCAGTAATATTTATTTTTAAATAGGAAATCTAAAATATGCAATTTAAAAAAACATGATATACATGAATCTACTTGCAAGAACTTAAAACCAAGAC